GTATTTATATGACTGAAAGGGGCTGGCAAGGTAAAGTGTCTGGCGGGAGGAGGGAAGCAGCTATGAGCAGGGATGTCAATGGATCCTCAGTGCCACAGAATTTTCTAAGAGATGTAGACCAGTGTGGTGGTTGGGCTCAGAAGGGGTACAAGGTGACAACCATCAGCCACCTCCCCCCAGCACTGCTCCCACCACACCCTGTTGTGGCCATAGCTGCCCTGTCCAGAAATCCTGCAGCCTCTGCACTGCCAGGCCCTTCTCCACCCCTCCAACTTTGCCCAGTGCACGTGGGTAAGTGCATTAGGGTTGATGATGTGCATGCAGGAATACTGACCCAGAGCTCCTGGAAGCCTCCCTGCAAGCAAGGTGATGAGAAGGCTGGAGCTTCAGCAGCCATGCTGGCAGGGAGCACGGAAGCCAAGAGCAGGGACGTGCAGGAGAAGCAGACGTGCTCCTGTGGCCCTGGAGCCCCTGTGAGCTTCACACTGGCTCCTAGTGTCAGCCTCCAAGCTCCCTGTGTGTGAAAAGCAAACACACCCTGTCTTGTTTTATCCACTGTGGTTTGAGTTTCTGTTCAGGCAGCTGAACGTAATCACAGGGAATACCAAACACCACTGCCCAGTGTGCAATTATTTCCCAGCAGCTTCTACTGTGCAGCATCTTGAAGCTCACGTCAGCACCCTCTGCGATGTCCCAGGGTTCACCTGGCTGCCTTGTCCCCAGACCCCTGTTGCAGAAGAGTGGCTACTATATTGACCCTGCATGTACAAGAGGCAGGTCTCATGGCCCAGTAGATCCACAACAGGTGTCTTCTGCCTTGTCCGGTTCTTACTCACTATTGCCCCTGACCCTATTAACTGAAGGGGAATTATTATTCCCATGCTATCAGTTGTAGGAAAGTCAATTGCATAGCACGGGACAACATCTGTCCCCTCTGTTGGTGTCTGGTAAGCTGCAGTCTGTTCGCACCAGGTGAGAACTCCTGGCCCCAGCCCCTTGAGCATGGCCCTTCTCAGCTGCTTGTCACACTGAGATGTGAACAGAAATAGAGCTGGGTAGGCAGGTGTCTTCAGGGACACCTGGTAGAGGGAGGGTGCAGCTGCCATCTGGCCAGGTTTACAGGAGGCTCTTCCCACACAGCACCTCACATGTGTCCCACAGGAGCCCTTAGAGGTGGGGGGACCACTGCCCCAGCTCCGCAGATAAAAGGGAGGCAACCCCGCCAAGCCACCCAATAGGTGCTCCGTCGCATGTGAATTTTCTCCACCCGTCAGATGTGAATTTGTGTCTATCTGAGCCTAAGCCTATGCCTATTCTCTGGAGCGCCACTCTGAGTGGACAGACTGTGGTCATGAGCCGATACAGCACAGGCCCAGTAGTGCTGTCAACTCAGCTGGGCCTCCCATTTCTAGGCCCTCTGAGGGATGTGCCATCGGCCTCTGAGCTCCATGTGGGGAGAGCTCAGCCCCAGGCTGGCACCTGCCATGGCTCCTGCGGCAGCAGCAACCATCCCAAAGGCAAGACACCCTGCACCGAAGGCAGGTCCCAGGCCCTGAGCACTGGCCACACACACGAATAATAAAATGCTGCCCAGAAAATCCATGCCCTCAGGCTAACCTTTATGGAAAAAGGCCAGGCAATCTTTCTTGACCTTTTGTGTCATGGCAATTAAGCAGTTGGCTTATGAAGCATTAAGCTGGCCTGCCCAGTGACAGCTTAGCTTTCAGTGAAATGCATAGACTAGTGTGTCGTTCATAATAATCTAACCATGAGTCCTCTTTCACGTTTGCAGCTTCAGAAAGAGAAGGTACCAAGTGTCAGGTCTTGGTAATGCCTCCAGCATTATTTCTTTAATTATGCCCCAAGAGCAACGCCGTCCCTGTGGAGGGGGTAGAGTCAGTGGGGAAGAGCTCCTTTGCTGATTACAAATGTGAACGGGAGCCCATCGAGGCTGTTTTCTCATTCCAAGGGAAAAGGAAAAAAGGAGAATCAGAAAGGTCCCCTGCACCCTTTCTTTCCTCCAGGCACAACCATGTCCTGAAAGGAGGCTGGCCATGGCCTGTGGCTTGTGGGACTGCCACTCATTGCTCAGCTTCTCCAGAAGTCTTCGTTTATGGTCTCCCCATCTGAGTTCTCTAGGTGTTCGGGTTCCTGCAAGTTAAATCCACTGCCATGAAACAGCTCCTGTGTTCACAGGGGGCCTCTATTCAGAGGCAGCTTGGCCAAATCCTTTCATCACCTCTGCTCTGGAGGAGGGAGGCCTCTGGGGCAGCCCAGACATTTGCAGAGGTGACCACTGGGTCCCGGATAGGGCCAACCTTCTGCCACTTTCAGGAGTGGCCCCAAACCCATGTCCTCCAGCCCAGACAACCCGTGTCCCCATGAAGAAAGTGCACCATTGAGGTGTGGGCTGGCAGCCTGCTCAGCATTGCTCAGCTCCTGCTGTGGAAATCTCTTTGGTCCTGTGAAGCGCAGTGCAGAGTGGAGCCTGGGAAGGACAGAGGGTGCAGGTGGGGCAGGGCCGCCGTGGATGGCAGCTGCAGGTGGAGTTCTAGAAAATTATCAGGAGGATGACAGACCAGGGCTGACAGCCACGGTTGAGGACCAGCCCCCAGAGTCTGCCAAGGGGAAAGAAACTGTGATATTGACCTTATTTTACTCTCAGTCACTGAAGTTTCTGGGCCGTTAAAAGGAGATGGCAGAGAAATAGGATGAGTCCCTTCAACCCCCCGGCACCTATCCTGACAGAAGGGACCTTCAACAGAGCTATGAGAGCCTCAGTGGACATGGGTGTTGTCCCCATGTCCCTGCAGCTGGAAGCCTGGGACCATCCGGTCCCGAGGTCTGGGTGAGAGGAGGGCTGGTGGCACAGGGGCTGGGCAGTTGCCCTCACACCTAAGGCAGCAGCTCTGGACAGGGGCAAGCCTTAGAAACTCAGCTGCCGGTGAGTGGAACCACTGCCTGGCGGGGTGCGGCGGGGGGGAGTTGGGAGAAGGGGGCCTCTTCTCACTGGAAACGATGGGAAGAGGGGTCAGTCTTCACATGCACAGCCATGAGAAAGCATAGACATGCTTTATTGTTTTTTCACTTGAAAAAGACAGCAAATCAGCCTCACACTGCAGGTTCCTGGATTCTTCCCATTTCAACAGCCTTATTAATTGGTTAGTGACTGGGAAAGCTGAAGGTTCCACACCTGCTCCAATGTTGGACACACTGGAGAGTTTGGATTCACTCTCTAAAATGACTTGGGGACTCATCCTTTTTTATGGCTGCATAGTGTTCCATGGAATATATGTTTTCTTTATCCAGTCTATCACTGATGGGCATTTGGGTTGGTTCCAAGTCTTTGCTATTGTAAACAATGCTGTAATGAACATATGTGTGCATGTGTCTTTATAGTAAAATGATTTGTAATCCTTTGGGTATATATCTAGTAATAGGATTGCTGGGTCAAATGGAATTTCTATTTCTAGACCCTTGAGGATCTTCTGTCTTCCACAATGGCTGAACTAATTTACACTCCCACCAACAGTGTAAAAGTGTTCCAATTTCTCCACATCCTCTCCAGCATCTGTTGTCTCCTGATTTTTTAATGATAGCCATTCTAACCGGCATGAGATGGTATCTCAATGTGGTTTTGATTTGCATTTCTCTAATGACCAGTGATGATGTGCCTTTTTTCATATGCTTGGTGGCTGCATAAATGTCTTCTTTTGAAAAGCGTCTGTTCATATCCTTTGCCCACTTTTTGATGGGGTTAAGTTTTTTCTTATAAATTTATTTAAGTTCTTTGTAGATTCTGGATATTAGCCCTTTGTCAGATGGGTAGATTGCAAAAATTTTCTCCCTTTCTGTTGGTTGCCAGTTTACTCTAATGATAGTTTCTTGTGCTGTGCAGAAGCGCTTATGTTTAACCACATCCTATTTGTCTATTTTGACTTTTGTTGCCATTGTTCACATACTGGGGCCTGTTGGAGGGTGGGGGCCCTAGGGGAGGGATAGCAGGGGGTGGGGAGATTGGGGAGGGATAACATTAGGAGAAACACCTAACGTAGATGAAGCAGGGATAGATGCAGCAAATCACCATGGCATGTATATACCTATGTAACAATCCTGCACAATCTGCACATGTACCCCAAGACTTAAAATTTAATTAAAAAAATTAATTAATTAAATTTTAAAAATGACTCGGGCAAAGAAAATTAACTGACTTATGAAAAGGTCAGTCTCCATTACTGACAGCTTCATATCACAAAGAAAGGCATTTTCAGAGCAGAGACACTTGATCACTGAGAATTATTGACCCTCAAGCCCAGAAAATGCCACTTGATACACCAGCAAAAGACCTCCATTAGAGCAGAGGGAACTGGACGGCACCGGTGGGATTAGCAGTACCATTTGTCTCACTGCTCAGAGCTCCCAGCCAGGGCAGCCTTGCGTGAGGGACTTCTCACCAAATGCAGGTGAGATTTGAGCTAAGGCTTCAGCAACTAAACGATCTTACAAGCAGGCTTTAGGTTAGTGGTACGCTTTTTAAATGAAATAAAAAATGAAACTACTTTTTTTGGATTACATAAGAGATCTAAAGTAATCAACCTCTTGCATTGGTTTTCTGCATGCAAACATAAAATGGTGTTGTTATCTCAGGGTTAAGATTATATTGATAATTCTGGGTCAGTCCCTCTGGCCTTTCTGTAAGTATTTGAAAATGCTGATGTGATCCTCACAGGAATTCTCAAATCTCCTGAGGACAGCATCCTTGGCCAGGATGTGCTCAGGAAAGACCACAGGAGCATCTGTTGACTAAACCGATGATTTCCCACAATTAGAATAGGAGTTAAATATAATTAGACTATGCAAACTAGGTCTACCATGAGGTAAGTCAACCTCCTTAGAAACTAACATGACAATATCTGAAATTGCAGTATATGTCTAACCGCAATAATATTGCAACAGTCAATATCTGTATAATTGCAATACAAAAACTACAAGAATTTGATGTGATAAATGAAGTTTTTACCTAGTGGGTAAAAAAAGCATGTGCTAGTAATATATGTTCTGGTAAACATTTCACAGCTGGATCTCAGGAACAAAAATGCATGCATGTATATACACGGGTAAGTGTATTAAATTTTTTAGTAAAATAAAGCATCTGCAGCATACAGTTTACAAATACAGTATATAGTACTCATTTTTGTAAATTCTGTATGATCGATTGATTCTCACAGAAAACATCTGTTCAATTCTGGCAAAGTTGTATCCGCAGGGAACCTATAGCTGTATTTGACCAGGGAGGGTAGGCCCTACATAAATGTTGGTGAGTGTTCTCATCTGCATTAATGAGTCAGAGAAAACCAAAACAACAAAGAAGTCAGTGTGATCTCTTGTTTGTCAGTGACTTCTCAGCTGAATTAAATAACTGTTTTTAATGCCAGAAGATTTCCTTATTTTTTTTTGCTACTCACAATGTATTGGCTTCAACACTTTTAAGTCTAATCTGCATTATTAATGTCTTCGCCATCACTTTTGAGTTAAAGGATGGCCCTGGTTGGTAGCACTTGCAGACATCTGCAGCGTCCATGTGCCTACCATGACTCACTCCAAGCTTCCACCTCGGCAAGGCTGAACAGGAGCGTGCGGCATGGGACACCTAAGAAAGGAGATGCCTCCCGTGGACCATCCAGGCTGTGCTCGGGGAGGCTGGCCTGTGGACTTCATCCATTGGCTTTCATAGCCTCTGGCTTCCAGTCCTGTTTTGCCAGTGGGGACCCGTGACAGGGAATGGCAGGAGGCGGGAGCGTAAGTCTAGGTTTTACTCTCTCTGGTCATGGTAGTCTCTCTGGCCCTTGGTGAAGATCATAGCATCTTTCAAGGTGACTCTGTGCAACTTGACTTCCAGAATCCATTAACTGCTCCTCCCTTCATCCCTTCAGACCAGGGTGAGAATAGCTCTGCTATTATTAGGCCCAGAACACTGTACTTTTTTGGTAGTTTTCCAGCACTCTGCCTATGTCTCTGCAAACAGTCCCCTTACCAAGCCCTCTGGGGATGATGCTAATGTGCCCTGTGTTCCTGCAGGGACACAGATACAGACAGAACCCACAGAAACAGCAGAACTCCCCAGAGGACAGCCACATGGTACACACAGTGAATGCCCCACCCAGGTGCTCCAGGACATCAGAGGGGTCCCAGATGGAGTTCTCCAGAAAAAATAACAATTATACATGGCTGCTACTGTGAGACACTGGATCAACCTGAGCATGTAGGGGAAGGCACCTTATGCTTTGCCGTGGTCTGAATGTTTGCAGCCCCCAAATTCATGTTGAAATCTTCACCCCCTTGCCAGGCGAGGTGGCTCATGCCTGTAATCCTAATACTTTGGGAGGCTGAGGTGGGTGAATCACAAGGTCGAGTTTGAGACCAGCCTGACTAACATGGTGAAACCCTATCTCTACTAAAAATATAAAAATTAGCCAGGTGTGGTGGCACACGCCTGTAATCCCAGCTACTCAGGAGGCTGAGGCAGGAGAACTGTTTAAACCTGGGAGATGGAGGCTGCAGTGAGCTGAGATCGAGCCACTGTACTCCAGCCTGGGTGGCAGAGCGAGTCACTGTCTCCAAAAAAAAAAAAAAAAAGAAGAAATCCTCACCCCCAAGGTGATAGTCTTAGGGGTGGGGGATTTCCAGGTGAATAAGTCATGAGGACATATTGTTGTGGATGGGATGAGTGCCCTTATAAATAAGGCATGAGCTAGGAGGCACTGGGAGCAATGGGCCCTCCCCAGATGGCACCTTGATCTTGGACTTCCAATGCCCCAGAAGTGTGAGAGATGAATGTGTTATTTATAAGCTTCCCAGTCGGTGACAGCAGCCAGACAAACTTCTATCAAAAAGAATAAAAGAACAGCATTTAGAAGTTTAATAAATAAAAGGTCTTAGTTTAAATATAAAGAAACTTAAATGTGGAGGACTTTAAAGAAATAATGGAGTACAAGGAAAAAGCATATCTGACCTTAAGGCTGGGGATGATTCCTTCGAGTGGCTCAGGAGTGGTGGTCCAGGGCCTTAGGGAGGGACGTATCTCCTAGCAGACATTCATACAGATGTGCACCAGGGGAAACTCAGCTATGGTTACAGGGCTAAACGCATACTTCATCAGCTATAAAAGCCATCATCTGATATTATCTGGGAGATGAAAGAGGGAGTAGGGAGGGAAGGGTGGGGTTGGAACCCCCTGGCATTACAGGGTAGGGACCACTGGACACTGTCAGAAATGATGTAGTCCTAAGTACATTTGTTTAAAGCAACAAAGAAAACCACAGGCAAGCCGGGTCTCCTCCCACCACCTCCACTGCTGACCACGAGGGAGGAGGCCAGCAGAGCCAAGTCCCTGGAGGGTCAGTGCCGCTGTGTTCCCGCTGACCTCTCCCCATTTTCAGTGCTTTCTGTCCTGACACCTGAGCCTTTCACTTGGTGGTATTTCCTCCAATGCTTCTTGTTTGCCAAGCCCCCTTACAACATAGCACTTAAAACAGCTTTTCTTTATGGAAATCTACTTATTCCAAAGCTCTTAGGCAGTGTTATAAACATTAGTTTAAAACATCAGCCAGGGGATTACTGATAAAATATAAAATAGAAACTATTTCCCAAGGAAACGTCATCTAAAAATACACCAGTTTCCCCTCTCTCCTCACTTGAGTGGAAGGCAGCTGAGGGAGCGCCAGGACCCGTCTTGGGTGAAGTCTACTTCCTCATACCTCTCTGACATTGTTCCCATGAATCCCCCGGGAATGGGTTGAAAAAAAAAATGTGACAATGGAGAAGAGTTGCACCCAAAGCAACGTGCATATAAACAGGTCTTCCAGCTAGAGAAAAAATTCTGCATAAATAATTCAGATTGCTGAGCTTGGTGGCTCACGCCTATAATCCCAGCACTTTGGGAAGCCAAGGCAGCAGTCTGAGACCAAACTGGACAACATCGTGGGACCCCATCTCTACAAAAAATACAAAAAAATTAGCCAGGCAGGAGGCTGGGTAGGAGGCCTAAGCCTGGGAGATCTAGAGAGCCATGATCACACCACTGCACTCCAGCCTTGGTGATGGATTGAGGCTCTGTCTCAATGATCAATAATGATAATGATTCAGACAAACCAGGTTGAAAGATGTTCTGAGATGGGAAACTTGGAACCCTGCCACCTAGGGTGGATGCCGTGGCTGATAGATCCTGAAAGGGCAGCATGGAAGGGCTCTGGGAGGTGTCTCATTTCTGTCTGTTGTTACTCCCCTTGACCGCTGAGAGCCTTTACGCTCCCCAGAATTGAGTAAGGGGTTCCTGGACAGAAGTGGGGAAACTGTCCCAGTGACGAGGTCTTCCTGCCCAGGGCCATATTACTTTACTCCATTTAAGTGACAGAGCATGAACAGGTCACATTAGTGTCACATGCGATTTCATCCTCCATTTGCAACAATGAAAACTGCCTAACGACATTGTTATATACCCCAGAATTATAATTAATTCTTATTAGCCAATAGAATCTGATTGCACTAAAATCTCTGTTAGCCGGGACAGATGTAGCCACAATGGCCATGCCGTAGAGGCCAGACGAGGTGGCTCAGGCCTGTAATCCCAGCACTCTGGGAGGCCGAGGCAGGTGGATCACGAGGTCAGGAGTTTGAGACTAGCCTGGCCAACATGGTGAAACCCCATCTCTACTAAAAATACAAAAATTAGCTGGGTGTGGCGGTGTGCACCTGTAATTTCAGCTATTTGGGAAGCTGAGGCAGGAGAATCACTTGAACCTGGGAGGTGGAGGTTCCAGTGAGCCGAGATGGTGTCACTGCACCCCAGCCTGGGCGACAAAGCAAGACTCGGTCTTGGGCTGGGGGTAGTGCAGGGCAGAGTGGAGAGAGAACAAGCAGCAATATTATCTAAAACAAAATTGCAATCCAAATTCTAGGCCCGATTCTGGGATTGGTTTACATCCAGCTTGGTCTGGCCTTGCCACGCCCACAGGGCAGGACACACTGAAGTCTGCCTGGGGGCGGGGGCGGGGGCCTGCTTTGGTACTGGGCTCCCACTTTCTGCAGTCCCATGTGCCCAATATTCCTGCAGTCCCTCGTGGACCTAGTGTGTCCTCATCTCAAACTCGGGACTGCTGGCCTGGGCGTGATCCCTTCACTGTTTCTCACTAATAGTTTGCCTCTTAAAATATGACAAAGACCCTCTCCTTTCATCACACTTGACTCAGGCTCCTCTTAGCCCTCCCTGTGACCAGTCCCTGACCTTGGCCGGTTTAGGCCAATTTAGCAAGAATCCTGCTGAGTCGGTTTAGTGAAAATGCCGGATCAAACTTCTCAACTCCCACCCTTGGTATCTGACCACACTGCCTGCCTTCAGCAAAAATCCTGTCAAGTCTATGCAGTCAGAATCTGCCTTGCCCCTGACCCTTCATCTTCGTAATGTTCTATCTATCCCCGACCCTACTCCTTGGCTGTCAATTCCCACTTTTTCTTTTTGGAGTCAAGCTGGATCTGCCTCCCCTAACCCCACACCTCGCTTTAGCAGCCCCCCTTCCGCCCGGCCTTTGAATAAAGGCCCCTTTGCCCTCTTAAACAACAGACTGGGACAGGACATTCCCAGACCCCCAACCCCAGTGCCAAAGAAACCTGAGCCCCAGTCCTCAGATCTCAAGAAACCCAGCGGGTGACAGGCGTGGGTGTCACCAGCCAGGATTGCTGGTGGGAGCTCCGGAGCACTTTGCAAGTGAGCAGGGCCTGAACAGGCGCTTCTCTGTCGTCCACGCCTGGGGAGGACTCTGGGTCCTCGCTTCGGACTGCAGAGCTCCTTTTGCTGTTGCCTGCTGTCTCCACCGACCTTGGCGGTTCACTTAGTACCTCCAGGCCAACAACTGGCCTCTCCTTCCCTGCCTTGTGCCCTGCCTGGGTCTGAACTGTGGGTCACCTAGCGTGTACGTGGGCCTCAGAGGCGCCCTGTGGGGCCCGAGGTACCAGGGAGAAGCAAAGGGGACCAAGCTCGCATTCACCCAGCTTCCACTGGAACAATGGCCTCTGCAAAGCAACGACCCCGCCGCCTCGCCTCTCCTCCCATCCACGGACATCAGGGTCTGCGACGCCCTCCGCAAGGGGCCAGGGTCCCCATGTCTTCGCTCTCCAGGATGCTTTCCGGGTGTCACCCTCCCTTGCTCCCATCGTCCCCCTACAACCGAGTCTAGCCTGGTCGCTGCCATGAAGATAAGGGCTGGTCAGGACCGGTCACCTCCCGCCACCACCAGTGGGGACCGGTCAGTGTCGGTCCGGGCCTCCAGTCCCGCGTCCCCGCCAAGGCCAGGCAGGGGGTCGTGGGTGCCCTGGGTCTAGAACCAAAATCAGTCAGGAGAAAACCTAAAGGACGAACGTTCCGAGTACGTATACGGACGGTTAATATTTATTTCACAACTTATTTTTTTTAACTTCTTTGTTAAAGAGGAAAACCTAACGCTATAAATAAAACGACCAGCAGCACTTGTGCCTGCGTGGGTGGCGCCCACGCCTTTAAACCTGAAGTCACAGGTACTCACACCCGCACCCGCGCAGAGCGGCTGCTCCGCAGGAGTAAGCGGAGAGGGTCGGCGCGCGCCCAAAACGACTCAAAGGGAGCGCAGGGGCTAGGGAGGAAGTGGCCTCCGTGCAGGCGCAGAGAGGAGGGGCGAGAGAGCGACTCCTGCGCAAGCGCAGAGTGAAGAGCCGGAAACAGCTGAAGGGGTGAGGAAGATAATGGTGGGGGACCGCGAGGCGGCTCCGTGAGCCGGCAGGAACACGCAGTCGATCAGCTAGACTCGCCTGTGCGCAGAGCAGATGAGGTGAGGAGGCTACTGCGCAGGCGTTGTGGGGAGGCGGGTTGTATTCGGCACAGGCGTTCTGCGGGGGAAGCCCCGGCGCAGGCACAATGTGGAGGCGGCCAGACTTGGCGCAGGCGCGGTGTGAAGGAGGCCGGACTTGGCTCTGAAGCAGTGTGGAGGAGGCCTCCGCGCAGGTGCAGACGCAAGCAGACGCAGGCAGGACAATGGCCGCTGGGGTCTGATGGGCAGCCCAGCCCTCCTCGCGTTTCATGGGCTTGGCCTGCCGGCCTCCTTCGACTGGTGCCCCCGCGTCGCCTAGGGGCCTGGCCATATCCTCCCTCTTGGCCAGGCACTTCTGTGCTGCTTTTTAATTGAGATTTTTCCATCCCCTGCACAGGAAGTGTCCTTTATGCCAATGTTTTTATAGTCACTTTTTAAGAAACATTTTGGACTTTCCAGTACAGAATGGTGTCAAAATAAAGTTTAACCTTCTTCAGGTTATATTTTAGTGAATAATATTAATATATGTTCCAGGGTTGTATGGGATTTCTAAAATTCTAATTTGAGTATATGCTACCACTCATAATTATGGTTATTATGTTGTTATTGTAACTAAATATCCTTGTCAATTGTGTCTTTATAAGTACTCAGAGTCATTTCCTCAGTTAATTGCTTCAGGCTGATGTAGTTTCTGAAAACTTCACAAGCACACAAAAGCCTAGAACATGGTGTCTTTTAGGAGGCTCATGAAAGGATGGGAAGGATGCTGAAAAAAGCACTGTTGAATGCAGGTTTCTAATAACTTTAAAATCACATCATTTGGACTGGGTAAGAATTGCTGAAACTTTAATGAAAAGACTGGCTTATAAAACTGCTAACCCAAAAAGAACAAAAATTAATTGAATACCAAGGAAATACTTAAGCAGGTTTGCATGCTAAATCAGCCAATACCGAAATTGCTTAGGTACACAATTTGAATGAACTCCATGGTCTAAGTCAAATTACCTGTGTTAACCCATCAGTTATCCATGCTGTGCACCCAATTTGGAGAAACAATTGGCACCCAAGAGGACGTATGTCCAGTGTTAAGCATGGATGCATGGAGAACCAGGACAGCTGCCTTGTCCTTCCTGAATCCTTAAAGCTTTTGTTATTAAACGTTGTGCATTCCATGACTCATCTGGAAAAGACAAAATGATCCAAATTAAATATATTGGTGTGGTGACTTATAAATTGTTAAAATAGTTTATAACCAATGTTTAGTTTGTCAAACTATCAAAGCTTCATGTACATTTGGCTACCTGAGGGGCCATTTAAACATTTATAAAGGGATTTCATTCAGTTTTCATTTTCAGTGTATGTTTTCTGGTTGTATGAAAGCTTTCCCATGCAGGAGGGCTAATGTTATAACAGTAGATTATTATGCTTCAGTGTATTTTCACCAAGTGAAGAGCTTTTTATGGTTCACTGTGGACAATCAATCCCTTCACAGTCTAGAACGCAAAGATGAGATCTTTGAGAACATCAGAGAAAAACTTCCCTTGCCATCCACACTGCAATAGAACATCAGGATCTTGAAACTTGTGGTCATAATCTCACAGCTGAGGAGGGTCACTGCACACTCTTGGAATGGTCCACTCATTGAAACCCTTAAGGTAAAGCTAACCAGGGAAGTTTCTCCCCAGAAGAAGATGACATCTTTGATGTCAACAGATTTTTCTGAGGATCTTGGATTAAAATTTCTCTACTGTCATGAGACTCTCATCTTTGAATTTTTTTTTCCCTTGCTTATGCCTCTATGAACAATAGAAGTGAGAAGGGGGTTTGTTGTGTGCACTTACGAGGTATACTTTTATTTGTGAAGGATTTTGCAGCCAGCTTTATACGTGGATAATCTTGTAACCTGATAGATAAAAGACGAAGACCCAATGTACCATAGGTCAGAAACTTTTATGGTATATACATTGCCTCATAATCACTCAGAAATAGAACATTGGTTCACTCCTCTTAACTCACATCATGGGTTACAGAGAACATTGCCAAGAGCCCACCCTCTCCTAGAAGGGCATCATTTGTTAGGTCCTTTTTCCATGATTTGGAATAAAAAAGGCAATGATTAGAAATGTATCCCTCATGATAGGCTCTATAGCAGATTCTACCATAAAGACTGTACCACAGACTTTAAATTCTCTTGTGAAAGTTATGCTAAATAATAGAATTGGCTAAACAGGAAAGTATCTGTGCAGCTCCTGGCACTTCAGACCTATGGAGAAAACATCAGGTATTATAGAGACTCAGTTGTAGGGAACTAACAAAAAGACCATTTAGTTAAGTGAGTCGACTCTATCTAGCTCATTCTTCCATTCATTTGATTTCAGGTGGTTTGGTTTATGGGGACCCTGGGTAAGGAGCATACTCCAAACTCTTGGTGTTACCCTCCCAGTAGTCATGATGATACTCTCCCTGGTGCACTGTATTCTCTCAGAGGTTTTAAGGGTTTGCCTGTAGACATCTTTAGAATGTCAAATGATCTCTCTTCAATTGGAATGACAAGTGCTGAAAGAAATGTGTGACTCTGAGAACACTGTAACATGCTAAGACTGGAAACCCAAAATGATGGTAAACAGAGAGTGGCGCTAATGCCCTAAGCTTTGGTCACACTCTTGCCTACGTGAGAATCTGACCAAAAATGGGGAATTTTTAAAACAAAATTATGGGAGGCCATTGTTTTGGACTGAGCACTAGGCCCCAACAGACCAAACCAAAGTGTCATCATTTGTGCTAAATATGACACAATCGGATTAAGATTTTAGGGAAACACATGGGTCCTAGAATAGACGAGGTTTTGTTTTTCTTTTGCAAACAGGACTTTCCAGCATAACGTGGTACCCTCAACTCAGTCCTTGTTCCTACCTTTGCAAAACTCACTGTTCTGTTTCCTCATGGGTTTCAGGACCAATGGTGATAGTGATATCAATAACTCAAGTTTTGGTCAATCTCTCAAAACTGAGAAAATGACCAAATAGGGGGAATTGTTAAAGCAAACTGAATGTGGCCTGAGAAGGACTCTGTACTTCTGTATTCGAGTCCTTGTGGACAAACTGCAACCTAACTTAATAGGTAGACAAGATTGAAAGCCTAAATTAGGAGTATGCACCTGCAATGATAGCTGAGTCTTGGCCAATCCCAGCAGCCATACTTTAATCACTCATACACTGCTGAGTGTTCAAACCGTGTTTAAGTAAGGCAAATGGCAACCTGTAACTGATCAAGATGTTTCTGTATCTCACTTCTGATTTCTGTACCTCACTTCCCTTTTTTGTCTATAAGTCTTCCACCTAGTGGCTGTGCTGGAGTCTCTCTAAATCAGCTGTGATTCTCGGGGCTGCCCGAGTTGCAAATTGTTCATTGCTCAGTTAAACTCCTTTACTTTTAATTCAGCTGAAGTTTTCATTTAACAAGAGTAAGATAATAACTTGTATTCTTATTGCCCAGAATGGACAAATCAGTAGCGTTCCTTGTCATTCTTTTGTGACCAGTTTCACATAAATATAGAATTTGATTTTAATGATTATACTTTAAAAGCAACTTTTTTTTTTTTTTTTTTTTTGAGATGGAGTTTCACTCTTGTTACCCAGGCTGGAGTGCAATGGCATGATTTCGGCTCACCGCAACCTCCGCCTCCTGGGTTCAGGCAATTCTCCTGCCTCAGCCTCCTGAGTAGCTGGGATTACAGGCACGCACCACCATGCCCAGCTAATTTTTTGTATTTTTAGTAGAGACGGGGTTTCACCATGTTGACCAGGATGGTCTCCATCTCTTGACCTCATGATCCACCCACCTCGGCCTCCCAAAGTGCTGGGATTATAGGCTTGAGCCACCGTGCCCGGCCTAAAAGCAACTTTTTAAAAATTCTTCCTGAACATTGAAGATGGAGAAAAGTAAAAAGAGCTGTCTTGCAGTTTCGTTTCTTTTTTGTATAGTTAAGAAGAATGTTTATCTTACTCTGTCTTGATAGTCCTCAAACCTCAAGTCGTCACTAATATCCTGTGGATGACAGTTTTTATTGTAGTGTTAAATGGCAGATTTATTTACTTGGCAAACATTGTCAAGTCTTGAAAAAATTACCCCATGTTCTTGGCTTCTTTCCTCATGAATGGCCTTGCACTGATGGAAAGTATTTGATCTATTCCCTGCTCAATTTTTCTAGCTGCTTTGGGATGTCAGCTCTGCATATCTCCTAGGGAATTAAAAAATAATGGCTTCAGCCAGAAACATGGCAGGAAAGTGCAGTTACATGGGAACCATATACGGAAGGAGTTGTCCCCAGAAGTGAGAATAGCCCTCGACAAGGGAACTCTCTGTGACTTCGCTCAGAGCAGACCACTTTGATCTTTTTATCACCGTGCCTCAGTGAAATCACTGGTTGATTCTCTGAACCGTTACTGAGATCTTCATGAAATCACTCTTGTGTGAGGGTTGCAAAACTCTGCAGTGTAAATCATAGTATTTGGGAGAGAGGACTTTCTATCTCCATCCTTTTTCTGTGGAATAAAAATTAGAACTGTTGTTTACTCTTTAAATTCAAATTCCCTTATCCAAACCAGTGTTATGAAAGGACTCCACTTTGCTCCCCAAATCAGTCTGTCAAGAATGTAATGATGACCCTTCATCCAAATCCCTCAATATGAGCTTTTCTAAAAGAACTCTAGAAACAAATAAGACAATATTCCCATATTCCTGCCCTTATACTTTATTTTATATTAGAGTTATCTGTGTATCCATTTTGTATCCCCCGAAGTATAACGAGCCACTTGAGGCCAGGTACAGCTGTGGTGTGTATGCCAGAATGTCTCTCAGGCAGTCGGTCTCTCCTGAATGTGGAGGGATGAGCACCAGCCATGAGCCACCATCTGTGTGGCTGGCCTGTGACCACCTCCAGCTCACACACAACCTCTGCACAGAATGGAAAAAGGCCTCCCCTGGGTGAATGTGGTAGAAAACTTGTCCCTCCAGGCAGTTGGTGAGCAAAGTGCTCCTCTCAGGAGGGCATGACATGTACAGCTCCACTGGGGGCCCTGTGACAAGACAGGCTTCGACCCTGCCCTCTTGCAGCTCATATGTATGAGGGACAGCCCAACAAGTAAGGAAGCAAATCCATGCTGTCGTTTCAGGTATTAGCTAGAGCTTTGGAGGAAACACAGGTTAAGTGGAAGGAATGACGAGCAGGAGCAACACAGACAGCAGGCCAGGGAGAGGGCCAAGCAGGGGCCTGGGTAACAGCTGGTGCCATGTATGAAACATTAAAAAGGGCAAAAACCAACTGTATAAACCAAATAGTTAATATCAGTTTTTTCTCCATTTCAGTTTTCGTTCATTCTAGGTTTATTTTGATTTTCTGCATTTCTCCGACACAATAGTTTTGTGCTGGGTCAGGCCAGTCCAGGGTGAGTCCCACTGAGTGGGTGCTCTGGGTGAAGATTGAAGCCTTCCCTCTGCAGGCCTCAGAGTCTCTGTGTGGCCTGGTCACAGCACTCATGGTGTCTCTGACCCACAGGAGTGTCTCAGGGGCACTGGTTTTCCCCTCAGGCCTCCAGCTCGCAGGGCCTGCCTGAGTGGCCGGGGCTGCATGTTGTGATCGCAATGTCCGACAGCGCTCCGGGCTCCTCCACAGGCTTCAGGAGAAGATTCACTCAGCAAAGTTCACAAACAAGCCACAGGACTGAGGCGGAGTAGGGGAAATACGTTGATAGTGAAATACAGGGAGAAGCAGCCTAATGTGCACTTGGGGTGCTTTGGGGAGATTTCAGCTGTGGTCAGGCATCTCATGAACAGAAGTTAACGGTGGGCCTTTCTGCAGTGTGCACAGTAGGTTCCCTCTCCTGGCTGTTTTTTTGCCTTTGGATTTGGGGGGTTTCCCGTGGCAGGGTTAGGACACCCTGCAGAGAATGGGGACCTTGAAGAGTCTAGGAAAAGAAACTGGACCAGACAGTGGGACGCCTGTAGCATGGGGCCCACTAGTGAGCCCCTCCCTGGGCCTGCGGCCTCCTCAGTACCATGAAACTGCCAGGCTGAGGATGGATTCAGCAGTTTCCTTCTGATCCGAAGTCTTCCACTAGAGAATTCCAAAAAACTTGCCCCAGTGTGGTCTCCTGATCTCCTTGGGTGTGATGAGGGCAGAGACCCCTTGACAGGCCACAGAGGATTCCACTAAGGCTTACCCAGGCCTGCTGCTCCAAGGACCCACCCAGTCCTGAGGATTTGTCATTGAAGCAGTCTCCGCCAGGGGAAGCGGACAAGGTAGGCCCCTACCCTACAGCTCATGGCTGGTCTCCCCCTGCTGCAAAATGGGTGCATCCCTGCACATGGTATGTCACACGTGTCACATGTCTGGCATTCCTTCCACACGTGTGCTTTCACCTGCTGAGAAGGAGCCCATCCTATGAAGTGGACATTTCATGTCATTAGGGTTTGGAGATATTATGAATAAGCTGATAAACATTCTTTTACAAGTCTTTTACAGACATGATTTTCATTTCTCTTGGGTGAATACCTAGGAGTGCGGCTGCTGGGCACTGTCGGCAGAGTGGCTGTGCCTTTTTGCACTCCCAGCAGGAAGGAATGAGAGTTCCAGTCACTCTGTGTCCTTCCCAAT